AGGGAAAAGCAGAAATTCTGAAATCTGTGAATATAAATGTTTTGTAAAAGTACTGGGACGTAATCCTGATTAAGTTCTATGCCTATACTATCCATGTGGCAAAAATTATGTTAAATTTACATAAGAATTGATTGGTTTGAGGTGGTGATTACCAGTGAGGAAAACAGGCTTTGTGTAATAATGGCTAGTTCTCTGAAAATGTCAGCTATTAGCTCAGTACTGGTTGAGAAAGTGAACTGAATTCTAGGAAATATTAGGGATTAAAGAGAACATTAGACCACTGTATAAATTCAAGCTATCCTTGCATCTTCAATGCAAGGTGCAGTTCTGGTCTTCCCACTGCAAGAAGGGAGGCAAGGATGGTCAAAGATATGGAATAGCATCCTTTATAAAGGATAGCTAAGCAAGGCGTAACTTTTCACACTGGAAAAAACAAGATAATTGAGGTGGTGGCATAGAGGTCTCTAAATCATGAATGGAACAGAGAGAATGGAGGGACATTGATTTTTCACCACCTTTTCCAGTAAAAGAACTATGAGGCAGGCTCAAGATAGATAAAAGGAGATAATCAGAGTGTGTGCAGCTTAGCTATGACGTTCCTTGCTGCAGAACGCTGTGCATTATTAAAGTTTAGATGGATTCCAGAAAGCAACTGGAAGGACAGCAGCCTCTTGGAGGGAAACAAAATTCTCTTAAATACTGGAGCATCACTTCTGGTTTAGGAAGTCCTTGAGGTGCAACTTTCGGGACCCTGATAGATATCAGGCAAAATATAATTTCCTGATTGTTTTAGTCTCATATCCTTCTCCAGGAGTCTGCCGTTGGCCACTGCTGGAGACAGGACTGTGTTCTGTATGGACCTTTGGTTTGGTTATTCTTATGATTTACATGTATTTTGTCATGTATTAGTAGGTTTCTATTTGTGAACTACTATGTGTTTAAAGCTCTGTATAAAATTTTATTCTCAAACTACTAGACACAGCTCAGTTTCAAACTGCTACTTATTATAACTTTAATTAATCTTTTCCTGCTGTTTTAGAAGCTGAAATTAAAATACTTATGATTTTTTTTCTTATTGCAGTCTACTGCCTACATGGCAGCTCACAGTGTTTTTAAATTCCATTTCTGTATTTTCAGATTGTCTATTACTCTGTCATGCCCTTTGGACTTGACCTTGTTTCCTATGGATACGCAGCGCTGCAAGATGCAATTGGAAAGCTGTATGTAAATCAGTTTGTGCATAAAAACAGTTGCCGTCTAGGCATGCCTGAAAATTATCAATTCTGTATCATTCATGTCAGTGTTTTTAATGAATCTTGAAATTAATATTCAGTGGTTCCTACCAACATACATTTCCCTATTAAAAATGTTTCTTACAGCTATGACACCATGCAGAGTTTTAGCTTTTGCTGTCAAACATAATGCCAACTGATAAGTTTTATAAAAATGTTTACAATAAACTTAGTAAAATGGAAACACATAATTTGGAGAAAAGTATCCATGGTTTCCCCAGGAGGTTTTAATTTCCATAACCTTTGCTGTTTTGTAGGTTGTTGGGGTCCAGTTTATCCCATGCATTGGTGATGCGTGGTGTTGTTTGAATATTTTGATACGGTATTGAAGGAAAAGTGTTTGATGCCAATACATTGAGAGCATTTAGTATGGAACCTTTTGAAAGTGGTTTCAAGCTGTGTTGTGAATGTAGTCAGGCATCTCTTCCTCCAAAATCTTTCCGTGGTCTCTAGGTGATCTTAGGAAGAGGCAGCCAGTTCTCATCTCTGAAGGGCTCCATGCCATGCTGGAAGCTGCAGCCAGAATATTTCTGAAACCCATCTTCTTTCCTGATTCCCAAGCACAAAGGTTTTTACTCCAGTACAGCCTTTTCCCAATACTGCAACACTTTGTGATCCCACTTCCATGGCAAACTGTTTTGCTGAGTAAGGACAAGTATGAAGCAGAGAGAAAGAAGGTGGCTTGCTCCAGCCCGTTCCTGTTGTAATACATAAACTTTGGTCAGTTGTTACTCCACCAGGTCTGGTGGGGTTAGGGGAGAGAAGACAAAAGGAAAGAAGGAGTAAGGTTCATCAAAGCTGATCAGAGCATCCCAGTGGGGACAAGGGTAATAATATTAGTGATATCAGAGCTTTACAATTTAGTTTTTGATTTCCAGCATTTACCTTTAGAATTGTAGTATGTCCATAGTAGTTTTGCCCTTCACTATTATGTATATACATCAGCTGAAGTAAAATCTTGAGGTAAACCCAAATTGGTTTGGGTTAAACCAGAATTAGACAGTAATATCAGTGGAGTTTTGCTCAAGCTTTCTCAGTCGGGGTTGCTTTACAAGCATTGCAAGGTATAGTTATTCCAGGAATTATCAATGACTTCATTTAAATAACCTTATTGTCTCTCTTCATTCTAAATTGATATATTCAAATTCAGGGGGAAACTACTCCTTTGGAAAGACAGTGTGCACTAAACTTTCTTCTACCTTTTAATTCAGTTGGATGAATGGACACAGCTACTTAATTCAGTTGTCAAAAGAATGGTACCCGTGACCTCCATTCTGTCCCTCCAGTTCCAGCAGTGGGCTTGCTTTCCCTCTTAGCCATTGGCAGTTTTTTGAAAATAACTTCAGTTATTTTCAAATCAATATTTTGTCTCTAGTTGCTAGATTTCCAGAACAAAAAAGAACACTAGTTTTCACTAAGCTGTTCTTGTATCTGTAGTTATGATCCCCAGTTCTACACATTCTCTATAGACAAAATTTTCACTGTCCAGTAATTGTTATCATAAAGGATCTGGGCAGTTTTGTGATTTCCTGTATGTTGGGGGTGAGACTGATTTTAGGAATGAAGCATTAAAACAACTAATATTTTTTTGTATTATCCTCCATCATGGAGTTTTGAGACATTGTGATTTTTATTCAGTTTTTGTGAATCTTAGAAAAGTTAGCTTATGAACTGTTTACCTTTTTTAATCACAGCTAGTTTTCAAAGATATAAAAAAAAATCTAATGCCTCCAGAAAAGGAACAGTTCTTTAAACATTTTTCAGAGGCTTTGAATTGCAAACCACTGCATTCCAGCTCCATCTTTTTTATGTTCTCCCATCTCTGTTCCAATTTAACACACATTATCTCTGTTTGAATTAAGTTAATCCTTAATAAAGAGAAGGTAGCAGAAAAGTGGCAAATAAATTCATTATTATGACTGCATATTTAATTCATATTGCTTTATGCTTGAATACTGTGAGCCTAACTTTCACTGCCTCTCACTTGGTGGTGTTGTATCTATCATGATTTAGACACTCAGGTAGATATTGAAGCCTGTCCATACGCAGGAGATCATGAAGGCACTGAATTCATGTCAGTAGGACTACATAGCTACTTAAATTCCTGGTCAGGTTTTTCCTGAAAATCAGTGCTTTCATGAATCAGGGCCTTTAATCCGAACAACTAAGCAGAAAGGTTGTTTTACACAAAATCTAAGATTCATCACAGTAATTGAGTTGTTAAATTCTTTTGAAGTTACTAGGACTTGTTAGTGCTATTAAAGTTCCGTGTATTTTTCATGCTTTGGTGAAGCAGAGTATGAATGAATATGTAGGTTTCAAAGCTGTGGAGAAGAGAACTTTGGTTTCTTTGTTTAAACAGTAAGCACTGTAACAAAACACCTCTTAATTGGTGTAATATTGCTGATAAAGTAATGTTCCACCCACCAAGTCCTAATTTAGGCCTATATAAGAATTCAGTTGTGGATTATTTCAGTTTTGTATTTAATTCTTTGAACAGGACATAAAAAGAAAAAGAGTGAAAGAAATATGATGCATATATGCTAGATTTTCTTGCAGAGTTTACTCTGAGTTGGTTCTTTAAACAATTGTTATTATTTTGTTCTTGTAGTTGGTTACACAACTGATGACTTACGGTTTATCTGGCAGTCTGGAGATCCTGTACAGCTAGAGAAAATTGCTCTGCCGCAGTTTGATATTAAAAAAGAGGATATCGAATATGGTAACTGTACCAAGTATTATAAAGGCACAGGTAGGTAATATAAGTGATTGTCTTGGTAAAAAACTTTGATTCCTTCAATTATTGTTTGATGTTACTGGTTAATACTCCATTTCATGTCTTACATTTTATTAGAGAAAATAGATTACTTTTAAAAAACTAGTAGTTTGTATAAAAGTAACTATCACATATAATTACTGCAAATTAATTCAAATACAGAAACATCTAGGTTGAAGATGAGATTAAATGTTTTTCTTGGTTTTGATTACATGTCATCTGATCTTACTATGACCATTTTGTTTCTATAGTCCTAATACCTTTTTATGTTTACAAATGTTTATGTTTTCTGCTCATGTAGAATTACACCAGTTGCAGTAATTTCAATTTTCTGGTTTGACTTTTGTTCCAGAAATGGATAGTATTAGAGTGTAACTTCAAATGCTTTGCCCTGCAAGTTCTTCCTTACTCTAAGTGTTCTGGAAAGTCTGTCATTACAGAGAGATGCTTACAGACCTCATCCCTCTATTTGTTCAGCTCTGAATATGAGCCGGAGGTGTGCTCAGGTAGCTAAGAAGCCAAATGATATCCTCGCCTGCATCAGGAACAGTGTGGCCAGCATGCCTAGGGCAGCGATTGTCCCCCGATACTGGGCGCTGGTGAGGACTCATCTCGAATACTGTGTTTAGTTTTGGGCCCCGCACTGCAATAAAGACATTGAGGTGCTGGAGCATGTCCAGAGAAGGGCAGCAGAACTGGGGAAGGGTTTGGAGCACAAGTCCTGTGAGGAGCAGCTGGGGAACAGGCTGCTCAGGGCAGTGTTTGAGTCACTATTCCTGGAGATATTTAGATGATGTGTAGATGTGATGCACAAGGACATGGTTTAGTTGTGGACTTTGCAATGTTAGGTTAATGGTTGGGTTCAATGATCTTATAGGTCTTTTCCAACCTAAATGATTCCATGATTCTATTAAATCCTATGATTGTTTTCTGTAATCAACAGTTGTTTGATTTACTTTAATTCTTATATTGAAGGTATTTTAAAAAGCAGATTTTGCACACATAGTTAAAATTAATTCAGTTAAAAATTTTGTCGGATAATGTGGAGATAGTGTTGCATATAGAAGAAAATTTTCCACACTGTGGCTTATGTAGCAGATTCTTGCCAATTGCAAATAATTCAATCGTTACTGCCTATTTACGTCAACTGGTGTTTGATCGTACCTACCTAAGTAGAAAGAGGCCCAACAGACTTGGGGTGACTTTTTGTGGAATAAATGGAATATTTAAATTTGCAAATTGCCTATTCTTTGTTTATCAATATTTATGTCAGATAAAAATAGGTCCTCGTGACCTGAATGGTGAGGGCACTAGATCCTGTTCTCTACATGACAAAAAATGATTCAAAGGCATACAGAATGCATTTCTGGCATAAAGCAAACATTTAATGATTTTGAAGGTCATCTCTCATTTGAAAATAAAACCTAAAAGTATCTGGAAACTCCTCAGAAATTAAAGAGGGGAAATTTGACAGACAACAGATCATTGGGAGGGATAGAATGAAGTATAAAATACTGTATAGTGTCTTTTACACAAGGAAATTTTTCCTTCATGTTTTCTTGTTTTGTTGTTTTGGTTACTGTATCCCCAAACAACACTTTTAAGATGACTTATCATACTACGGCACTTCATTGATAAAATATAGAAGATAAATAGCTATCTTCTTGAAAGATTCTGTCTTCTAAATCAACTTTGCACCAGCATGATGGACAGATATAAACTGATCTGAATTTTGAAATTGATGTAATATAACATAGGAATGCCTTTTCCTTGTGATAGAATAGTTTATGAAGTTGTTTTTACAATGCTATTATGTTAATAGTAACATAAAAATGCCAGTTCTGCTTATTGAGGGAAAATATGAACAGAATTTGTTTTCTGGTTATTGGACTACCTGATCCATTTCTTATTTCCAGCAAAACCTCTCATTTCTGAAGCTTTATTTTTTATTGAATTCATCTTAACTGATATGGTCTGAAATTCTTGTGTGCTTTAGGTCCTCATTTTAAAATATTTGGGTCAATATTTCTTGTTTTCAAAATTTACAATGTTTTTAGAATCTTTTTTAAAAAGTCTGTATGAATTTTAGAAGTCACCTATACCAGCTTTCAGTAGTGGGGGAATCTCTGCTTAGAGCCACATTCAGATCACCTCTTTCCATTCTAAACTGTATACACTAATGTTTTTTAATTCCATCTTTTGCACAAATTAATGCTACGTAGGATTTTCAGATAAGCTTAAACTAGTACGACTGCTAGACCCTGTTGCTTTTATGTGGACTGCATCCTGAAGCCAGCATCAAGATGAGAGTAACTTTAATGAATCTGATGTTAGCTTTTTATGATGGTATCACTAGATGGATTGACGAGGGGAATGCAGTGGATGTGGTAAACCTTGACTTCAGCAAAGCTTTTGACAATGCCTGCCACGGCATCCTCGTTGACAAGCTTAGGAAGTGCGGACTGGACCGTTGGGCTGTGAGGTGGATTGGGAACTGGATGAAGGAAACTGCTCAGAGGGTTGTGGTCAATGGGGCAGAGACTAGTGGAGGCCTGTGGCCAGTGTCATCCCCCAGGGGTCAGTGCTGGTCCAGCCCTATGCAATATATTCACCAATGACCTGGACAAAGAGATAGAATGTACTCCCAGCAAGTTTGCTGACGATACCAAACTGGGAGGAGTGGCTGACACGCCAGAAGGCTGCGCTGCCATCCAGCGTGACCTGGGCAGGCTGGAGAGCTGGGCAGGGAGAAATCTAGTGCAATTCAATAAGGGCAAGTGTAAAGCACTGCATTGGGAGAGAACAACTCCATGGATCAGTACAGGTTGGGGGCTGATTTCTTGGAGGGCAGCTCTGGGGAAAAGGACCTTGAAGTCCTAGTGGACAACAGGGTGACCATGAGCCAACAGTGTGCCCTCACGGCCAAGAAGGCCACTGGCATCCTGGGATGCATTAAGAAAAGCGTGGGAAGTTGAGAGAAGTTATCCTCCCCCTCTACGCTGCGCTGGTGAGGCCTCACCTGCAGTACTATGCCCAGTTCTGGGCTCCTCAGCTCAAGAACAAGGAGCTACTGGAGAGGGCCCAGCGCAGGGCCACTGAGATGATTAAAGGTCCGGAGCACCTTCCATATGAGGAAAGGCTGAGAGAGCTGGGTCTGTTGAGCTTGGAGAAGAGGAGGCTGAGGGGGATCTTATCAATGCTCATAAATATCTAAAGGGTGGGTGTCAGGAGGATGGGGCCAGACTATTCTCGGTGGTGTCCATTGACAGGACTAGGGGCAATGGCCATAAACTGGAAAACAGAAGGTTCAGCCTGAACATGAGGAAACACTTCTTCCCTGTGAGGGTGACAGAGCACTGGAACAGGCTGCCCAGGGAGGTGGTGGGGTCTCTGTCCCTGGAGACTTTCAAAAGCCGCCTGGACTGGTTCCTGTGTGATCTACTCTAGGTGATCCTGCTCTGGCAGGGGGGCTGGACTAGATGATCTCTAGAGGTCCCTTCCAACCCCCACCACTCTGTGAATGTGTGAATTAACTTCCTGTTCCTGATGCACTGTGAAAAGATGTAGGGTGCCTGAGAGACCACAGAGTACCATGTGCCTGACCACACTTGATAGTTATGTAGATCTGTGTTTTGAACAATTTTTTTTTCAAATTGAACTCTTTGCCTTTATAAAGGAAATAAAATCTTTGGAGTTTTGATCTTACCTTTAATAGAAAAAGGCCTGGAAGATACGGATCGGAAAAGGTAGACCTGCAAAGCACATGAAACATTAATGCATTTATTTCTTTAAAGGTTATTACACTTGTGTAGAAGTAATCTTCACTTTAAGAAGACAAGTTGGATTTTACATGATGGGTGTTTATGCTCCTACACTGCTAATTGTTGTTCTGTCCTGGCTGTCATTTTGGATCAATCCTGATGCAAGTGCTGCAAGAGTCCCACTGGGTAACCTGTGTTTACACATACTGTCACGATCCACTTTAACGCCATTGAGCCATTCTCAGTTGCTTTGACAACATGATGCTGGACACTGAAAGCAACTTCACTTCCATTATCAGCACATCATTTTCACTGAAACCTCCTCATTCCTACTCGTGTAAAATCCACCTCCACATTAAGACTTTGCTTGATAATGGTTCCAGCATTTGTGTGATAACCTCACTCACTGTCGGCTCCTCTCAACCCCCACAGATCTGATCTTATCCATGTATGGGTGATGCTGCAGACACTGTGGCAATATGCAGTTTAATGGAATGTGTACATTTGACTAATCAGAAAAAATCAAAACAGGAGTATGAGTAAGGCTCTAAATAGCTACCTCATGGAGCAGTTTTTCCTCAAGATTAATAGAAGCAGAATGATGTCTGGAAGATAATTAGCATCTCGTTACCTGATTGGCTTTATTTCATTAGAGACTCAGTTCATGAGAGCACTTCAGGATTGTGCTTTCATGCTGCTCAGCACAACGCAGTAGGCAGGCCCTTCATTTATTATGAAATAGTAGGACACAGAGTTAATCAAAACAATATTATCTTGACTAATTTGATAGCACATGGGACTCCAGCTCTGGGGTGGCCAAATCTGCTGACCCCAAGAGCTCGATGAAATGCAGAGCCAGGCTCTTGCATCTTGACACTTCTCCCATTTAGATTCTTTTTCCCATGCCACGATTTCTCCTTCCCCATGGTTTGGCCTTCCTGTTCTCCCCTTTTTCCTGGCACTCCCACATCCCCAAGTCCATACTTCCCAAATCTTTTCCATGTCCCAGGAGGTTCAGTGCACGTGTTTCCAGCATCTGAGTGGTGCAGTTGCAGAATCTCTTCAGCCACCTGCCTTCCTCAGAAACCACTCACCCACAGTTTAACCTCCACACCACCAGAGTGTATGACTTCTGTGCAGGTCCATGTGCACGAACATGTCAATAAGCACCTGAGACCCTTGGAGTCAGGGCCTGCCACATCACCTTACCAGTCTGTGACTGTGATCTGCAGAGTCTTGTGCCAGTGGGTAGCCAAAATTCCCTTGTTAAGAGCCAGCTGGAGCAGGGATGGTGCTGAGTTTTGTTAGGTGGAAAAGCATTCACATAAACTCCGGCCTGACCTCCACTGCTTCTATCTCAGGTCATCTACCACACCTGTTCCTCCTACAATAATATGACAGGCAAAAAAAGCTAAGGAGAAGGGCAACAAAGCTGATGAAAGGGCTGGAAACAATGTCCTGTGAGGAGCAGCTCTGTCCCATAAGGATTCTGGGTTTGTCTAATGTGGAGAGAAGGAGGCTAAGGGGTGACCTCATTGCTCTCTACAGCTTCCTGAGGAGGGGTACTGGAGAGGGAGGTGCTGAGCTCTTCTCCCTGGGATCCAGTGATAGGACACATGGAAATGCTTCAAAGCCACCAGGGAAGGTTTAGACTGGGCATTAGGAAGCATTTCTTACCGAGAGGGTAATCAGACACTGGAATAGGCTTCCTAGAGAGGTGGTCGATGCCCCAAGCCTGTCAGTGTTTAAGAGGCGTTTGGACAATAACCTTAACAACATGCTTTAGCTTTTCATCAGCCCTTTAAGCTGGTCAGGCAGTTGCACTAGGTGATCATTGTAAGTCCCTGCCAACCTAAATAGTCCATTCTATTCTAATATCTGGACAACTGTGACTGGACTGCTACTATTGGCTTGTGAGCCACATTTGGCTACCTTGCTCTAACTGAATGTAACAAAACCACTATTTCATTATGTTTATTGTATCTTTTTTCTAGGAGTCTCCTTCCAGAATACAAATCAACATTTTTTTCTTTTGACCTTTAAAAAATACTAATAATTATTGGGGGAGGAGTCACAATCTCTGCTAGTTTGATAGCAAGTAACAAATACAATCTCTTAGCAAGAGATTGCTAGGTAGCAAGTGTGCATTCCATAATGTAAAATATAAGACATTTTAAGAAAAAAAAAAAAAAAACCCCAAACCAAAACTGTGGGGGAAATGCAGCATGCATTAAAAATAAAAAGATAGAAACCGGAACTGGAAATATTTTTCACATAGCTTCGATATGATGAAAATCTGAGCTGTATTTTCACTTTTATAATCCTGCACTTCAAATAGCCAACCAGATAGGCTTATTAATTATACATTAGATGTATAAGAGACATAGTGTTGATTTATGGATCGTGGAGTCTCTGTGACTTAACATGCATTCTTATTTATTATTTGTTTCATTTATTATAAGCATTTATTGGTTCTTGTTATGTATTAACATTTCTGAAATAATGTATTTTTAAAGATACTAATTATTGGCCTGGTTCTGTTGACTTTTCCTGAATCCCCAGAGAAGCAAAAAACCTCTAAATCTGTCCATCTTTTAGTCATGAGTATGTATTTAGCAATACAAGTTGTTAACATCATCACTGGGCTAAGATTTATGTTTCTCCAGTTTGCATCAAACTAACTCTTCTAGCTTCATCCTTGAAGACAGCTAACCTTGAAATGTAATAAGGTTAACATTTGTGTATCAAGTGAATGACATCTAATCTCAAGAAAGTGTTACCAGTGGTCATTACACTCTCAGTGGCTAGATACAGATCTCATCAGATGAGAAGCTACTTACAAATATCAGTCATCCTTAATATTAAGTATAGTGGGTGACTGCTCCCCATGGCAAGGCATCTCAGAAGTTTCCAGTTGAATTAGGAATACAAGACACTTTGCAAGCCAGTAAGCAGAATATGTTTCTGTAGACCAGTTAATGTTCTGGGAAAAGGATGTATGCTTGTTTGAAGAAAAAACCTGTGTCCGTGTCAGAACTCAGTAAGTTGCAAGCTCTATTTACACCTGTATCGTTTCACCCAACTAGACCATGTGGTGGTAGGCAAGTCTGCAAAGGTCTGGTGCCTGGACAGCTGTGGCTAAGTGATGCAAAGGCTGCTATCACTGAATGCTTCTCTCTGATTAGATGCTGGTGTTTCACCTTCTAATGAGCCCAGCAGAGGACCTTCCATTTCTTTTCAGGTGGAAAGTGTGCCAGCATCCCTTCAAAAAATTCCTTTCTTTCCTTCATGTGTCATCCTCAAAGGGAGTAAGATCTTCTCTGGAGCTGCAGGGATCTGAGGGACGTCAGACTCCTGTCCACTGCAGCTGCCTGACAGAGTGGAGCATTAGTCGCGAGTGCAGGCGACTACAGTAGGGTAATGAAAAGCTTGGAGCAGTGATCAGTGATATATTCCCTGTACACAAAGGACAGCTAGATCTGCAGCCAGGCATGCCCTGCCTGCCCCCTGTCACTCCTGTACTCAGGTCTGTCTTAGTTCTAGTAATTTCATTTTATAAATTTTTAACAAATGTAGGTTCTCAAGACATACAGACATAAAGACATAAAGATATATATTAAAACTGTACTATGAAGAAGGATTGGCAAGATTACGTCTTTCAGTTTACGGAGTTTAATGAGAGAAGGGAATGTATTAGAGATGTTAAATTAGAAGGAAAGCAAGACAGAATATTACCTTTTTCAATAACATTAGTGAGATGAAGTCGGACATTTTTAAAGCAGTAATATATACCAGAAAATACTATTTTATACAACACATAATTAACATGTCGAATTCCCTGACAGGAAGATAGTGCTGAGGCCAGTAAGTTTGATGGATTCAAAAAGAAAGGAGATTTATTTTTTTGGCAGCATGTACTTTGCTGCACTGGCATTTTCAGATATTATCCACATGTAACCTTAACAAGTATTTTTAAAAGAGTAGCTGTGTACAATCATGCTTTAGGCTGGGAGCTAACTAACCTTACACATAAGCTAAACTTTGCCACCAAGGGGGATGCTATACTAGGGGCAAAAATGCAGAGGTGTTTGCTAGAAAGGCCAACTTTCCCTTTACTTTGCAAGTGTGGAAGACGGGGCTTTGTCCCTGCTCCATAGTGCTCCCTGAGAGGAACAGGGGCATTTTTTTTTTTTTTTTCTTAAATAAATAATCTTGCAGTTTATTTGTTCATTCTACTCACTCATGTGTGAGCCTTGAGATTTGGACTCTGTTAGGTAGGTACCTAGTGCAGCTGCTGCCAGAGGTGCAACTTACAACTCTGGTATTACATTCTCTGAGACCATGCCAACTTTGATCTGGCAGCAAATTGTTGCTTAGCAGGATATTTCTGTGCTTCTGTCTCACTTTTTTGTTACCTTGAAAACCTAGAAGTTTCTCAGACTCTGAGAATGATCTTTTCATCCGAGGAATTGAGACAAATGGAAATTAACACCAGGTCACCCTGACCTCTATTGCTCTACTGAACAAACTGATGAAAGCTCCACTAAGATCTTTTCAGCTAGTAGAATTTGTAAGCTAGTTTTGTAGAATTAAATCCAAGACTGTAAGAATTTTAAGCTCTACAAAAGGGGTTGTACAAATATTTTCAGCACTAGGCATGATGGTGATGATGATGATAAATAAAAGAAGAATAGCAGCATATTAAGATAGCAAACACTTTTAAAGTTAGTATGAAAAAAAAAAACAATATCCAAGATGTTGAGCCAGTCCATATAATTGACTAATTTGATTATTCAGGGTAAAGGTAGAGGCTGCCTTTCAGAGGTCTAGCATAGGCATACATGGTACTTGATACATACACTTTGAGAGAACAGACAACAAGCTGGGCATAGGCAGAGGGGTTCTGTATGTGTTAGGAGGCTGTACAGCTTTATTTGTACTTGTTATTGCAGTTCTTTGTGATCCGACAGCTGGTGTTGGTCTGTGAAAATAATTTTTTTAAAAGGGGTCTATCCTGTGGTCACTTTCTATCCTTATGGGAATGTTTGTACTTTAATGCTTCAAATACAGTAGATGGAAAATAAAGAAGAGGTGACAGTGAGGATTATCTGTTCAGTATTTGCCATGTCATTCTTATCTGAAATAGCACATGTAGCCGTTCTGTACTATCCCAATAGACAAAAAAAAAAATCCAGCTTTGCAATGATATATTGATATTGCATATTTCTAATAAAACGTGATAAAATTTTATATTTTAAAATTGTATGACTGTAATAATTTCTTTATACTTTCTCTTCAGTGTTTTAGCAGCTAGTAAATTGCCCATTTGAGATTAACACCAAATAAAGTATCATATCAATCTTATTAAAATTCAAATGGGAACAGTAGCACAAGAATGATGTGTTATTTATGATCAACTAGAATTGTATACATTCATAGGCCGATACAGATACTTTTATTAACACTTTCACATCCTCAGTTACTTAAAATGGATCAGAAGAAAATGATCTCTCTATAAATTACAACATTTTTCATGCTTTGGATAGCACATGTGACCAGTATAAGTAACATAGTAAAGACAAACCGAGTGTCTCCTTTTGGCCAAAATTTTCTGTAGACATCAATTGCATTTCATGAAGCTGTCCACTCATAAATGAAGATTTTTATCTTTAGCATTCACAAAAGCAAAATGGGACATTCTGAACTGGGAGGTTGTACTAAGTTTTCCCTATGTGACAGCCATCTCTAAAGTTAGCTTTTCCAAAAGTAACTGTTCCTGCTACTATTTCCGTTTCATAGGAGCCTGTGGGAAATCTTTCTTTGAGATCAGGCTTGTATTTTGTCTCTTGTGATGTGAGCCCTGTGGTGATGGTGACATTTGGAGGTCTTATCAGGAGAATTGCTTGTTGAAACCCAGTTTGACGATGAATGTGATCTTTCAACAGCCTTTGCAGATGCGGGGCTTTTTTTCAAAATAAGGGCTTCCTGGAAAGCCCTTTATCTAGAAAGGTTCCTCTACATCCTGGAAGCTTAAATAGGGAATGATCATAGACCCCCAGTCATCTCAGTGTTTTCATCTTCACAGTGAATCGGGAACACCGATTTTTTAATGTGCTAGTACAGCTTTGCTCTTCAGGAAAAAGCATCCCTTTCACCTAAGGTTTGCATATCGCACCTGTGGACAGGTCATTCAGAGAATTGCTCCTGCTCTAGCACAGTTCAGATTTCTGGGACAACGGTAGTCTGATGTAAAGGACTTGAAGTATTTTGGTTTAGTAGCATACATTTCTCTTCCATCTTTCCTGACTAAGATGCACATTGTAAGATAGGTCTTTGGAAAGCCCGTTTCCCAACTGTGTGATGGCGCAGGGAAACCACAGCAACCTCACTTATTTGTTTCTCTGTTTACAAAATGAAGGTACTCATTATTAATAAATCATCATTAACTGCAATATTCTACCTAAGTATTCAGTTTAACTCATTCATTAATTGAAGGCATGTGCACTTTGTATATCTGCTGCAAAGTACGCTGACCATATTGTCAAGTCCATTCAGTGTTACAAAACGTCATTCAGTGTTGTCTGTTTCAGAGGAAGAGCACAGCCAGTGTCAGTGAGGGTAGGCTTTCTTTAACCAATATATTGCTTTTCTTTTCATAGGTATTTTCTCAGTGCTCAGCTTGGCATCTGAATGTACCACTCTCGCCGCTGAACTTCCCAAAGTGTCTTATGTGAAGGCCTTAGATGTCTGGCTGATTGTTTGCCTTCTCTTTGGGTTTGCATCCCTGGTGGAGTATGCGGTGGTTCAGGTAATGCTAAACAATCCAAAGAGGATTGAAGCCGAAAAAGCAAAGATTGCCAAGGCAGAGCAAGCGGAAGGGAAAGGTGGAAATGCTGCCAAGAAGAACACTGTGAACGGCACAGGGACTCCTGTCCACATCAGCACTTTACAGGTAGGAGCTGCCTGTACGCGAAATCAGCATTATCCTCTATGAACACAATTCCAGGAATATACTGTCATAATAGTTTGGGATGGTGCTTAATCTTAGAAGTGGCCAAGACATTAAAAACATGCTGGTAATTAATGGCTAGGAATATGACCAATTGATCCCTAGTGATTTGGGGTCAGATGGACTAAATGAAAAATTTGTCTTTTAATATCCTAGCGCCATGGTTGCTGCCTTGCTTCAGGTAAATAAAGTAGCAAGCAGATTTACAGTTGCTATTTTTCTCATAATAAATAGCAGCTGTCAAACTGTAACTATTCAGAGGACAGGACTCTCAGTCAGTATTTGCTGAGAGCATACTCAAATAACACCCGTCTCATTGCTTTCCTCGGGAATGGCCACAGCTGCACCGCATTGAATGTCAGGCACCTCTGAAGCTAGGGATCCAGAAGTCTTGGCATTTGTAAACAAAAGACAGGTCTGTTTGTCTGTCAAACAGTTCCTGCATTTCTTGCGTTGCCAGATAGACTTTATGGGTAAAACGGTCAGATCTCATTATATGGATAAAGATGAGATATACATCTTCACTCAGGCCAAAGTTTTCCATCATGTTGCTACACTCCTGGTGTTGTAAAACTCCCCTGTTTGTGCTCCAAGAGTTATTAGACATCCCAGGCCAACTGCCCTCAGTCCTAAGTGATATTTGGTTCACTGTTACTCTACAGAAGAAAATACATTATGCTGCCATATGAATTTGGCTTATAGTTTTCAATGACTTGGCAATTTTGATGTATAAAATAAAGCTATTAGGCCAGATCCAAGTTATAATATCAGTTGTGTACAGTGTGACTTTAATGCACTTTTAAGGAGGGAGCAGTTTATGCCAGAATGGCAGAAACTCTGTCCTAGTATCAAGCTGGTGTTGCTCCATAGCTAATTACCCTAAGATTAGAGGAGCTGCAGATATCACTGATATCACACTTAACTACCACAATTCTCATCTGGTAGAAGAGTCTCCTGGGAACTGTTTTGGCAGGCAAAAACAGTTTAGAGCAACCCCATGACTGCTTTGACTTGTCTCACAAGTAATTCTCCAAGCCCAAGCAACGCGGAAACTGAGTAGAAAGAAAGATGACTCTGCTCTAGTTTTGCTTTCCCTGAACTGAATGTGATATTTTTGTGTTCAGCATTTTTCATGTCCCAAATTCAGCTGTTTCTTGTGACAAAATAGTTGCAACACTCCAGCAGAGCAGCATAATCTATTTATTCCTATTTCAAGTACTTAACAAGTGTAAGTGTTTAGCTTGATCGATGGTAAGATTAACAAAAAACTGCAGTTTAAGTAGTGTGAACAAAACCAAATTGCTGAATTACTGGCCCTCTTTGGTGGAGGGCCAGTACACCCTTTAATGTGCTTGCAACTGTCATAGCCATAAGGAAAATAAAATGATAACTTTTATCACCTATGCTATCCTTTCATCTTTTAATAATTTTTTTCAAGTAGGCAGATTTGGGTGTACTGTGTATTTTAAGGCTTAGGAAGGGGAGTCATTGTCCACAAAAATTAAGCAGCATTCCCCATCAGTGGTGTCTAGCAGTAGGCTGAAGGTTTTTAGGATTCAGACCTCAGTCTGCCCTCAGAGATCTTGCAGTGTCTCCCCTCCATGATCTTGTAAGGTAGGCTCCAGCATCTTATGTTTGACCTGCACTTTTCAAGGTCTTCCCAATTTGTTATCTGAGACCCTTAACATTCCAATATCTATAATCTCTGCTACAATAATCTGTGTTGGATCTATATGGAGTCCTGGGGATGCGTAGCTTCTGATGGTCTTTATACAGAGCTACAAAGCATTTGTTGACCAAGACATATTGGAAATACGTATTCATTGCTGTAAAGGCTTGTCATGTGGCTGAATTGTCTTGTTCCCTCATGGCTAGTGATCCGGCTTGTATCCAGCCACCTGCTTTGAAATATAGCCTACCTGAGGAAGGGTGTCCTGGAATGGTAATTTCTGGCAAGATCACCAGGCTGGGATAGAAGAAGGTCCCAGACCCATGAATCATTTGACATCAGGATGTGGTAGGACAGTGATGTTAGATTTTATATATTTGAATGCTATAAATCCTCCTAGCTCAAAATTCCCTCTCTGAACCAGTTACCATGTAGGAGTACTTTGAAAGTTCTCCGCCCTGCAGAAGCCTGTACTAAACTCCTAAATCAGAACAGGTTTAAATCTTTCAGTAGCTCTGACTCCTAATCCAAAACTAGACCTGCCCTTTGGATTGCTCCCGTACAGACCTAGTAGTGATAAAGTAGAGAATGCATTTGTCATATGGCAAATATGTGAGGGAGGGAAACATTAAAGAAACAGGTAATGGAAAAAAAATGTATGATGAAAGGCATAAAGAATATGAAATAAAAAGAGGCCAGTGTTCTGTCCAAGAGCTTTAGGAGCTGTTTCTCATCACAGCTATATAGGATTGGCATAAGGAGAGAGAAAATACTGTGCTAAATCTGGAAAAATTTAAGCAAACCAATACATAGCTCTAGGAGAAAAGGAAAACTTAGAACTGCATCCCTGAAATGAGTGCACATCCCATAGAAATGGTTGAGGATGTTCTCTTTCCACATAGGATACTCAGGCAAAAGTGACTGAGGATGTATCTGGAAATCTTACCATAGCTCGGCTTGAAACAGTGGATAGACCAGAAGGGACTCAAAGATAAAGCCAACAAGAAAGACCTGGAAGCAGAAAACTTCAAATGGGGAAAAACTGAGAGTGAATAATTGCATTTATAACTGTTTCTCCAGCTTAAATGAAGCACTTATTATGAGACATAAACTGAATGGTGCTGTTATATATCTGTAAGTTATTAAACAGGGATCAAGTATTTCACTTAAAAATGTCCCCGATCCTGATGCCAGGCTGGTTTGCCAGCATTCCCTGAGCAGCAAGTTGCACACTTGCTGCCTCTTGCAGCCATGCGGCGTTGCAGCAGTGATGTCTCTGCTGGAGATTTGGGGAAGGGGCTGGTATGTAAGGTGCAGGGGTGTTGCTGGGGTGGGAAGGTTCCATACTTGGGAAGGATCAGGGAAAGCATAGGGAAGCAAGTAGAGTGGTCAGGCATCTCTAGTTCCAGCCCTCATCAAACAACTTGTTTTCATGTGCTTATTCCATTTGTGAAAGATAAAAATGGCATCTGCTCTGGAGACTCAGCATGTTTGATATTAGTAAAAAACAAGCCATAACAAAACCACATGATCATACTTAAAAATACAAGCAGCTATTTTTCCTGTTGTATGACAAGAAATTGGGTAAAGGGATCAACTTTTAAGTATATCCTAAACATTAAAAGCTTGATGCCTTTTGTAATTGAAGGTGAGGAGGAGAGATCCCCTGTAACAGAAGCTGCAAGGGTCCCTGTGGAAGTTTTCATAAGAAAGCACTTTTGTAACTGTGTCAGTGGAGTCAGTCATCCTGACCGATGGTCACCGGCCATGACAGTGAAGATGGCAGGATGAAAACAGTGCTCACAGTGTGACAGTCACCTAGACATGGAGAAAGGCTTCCATGGGTGCATAGCTACTTCTCCTCCCCACCAAATCCTGGGTACTGGTTGACGTAAGAGCTGCATGTTGCCAGCATACACCAAACCTCCGAGTCCATGCTTTGTGACTCATGCCCCCTCCAACAAAAACCCTTGAAATGTCAGTGCCATTTTAAGCCCAGAGGTTTATCGATATGACTGTCCGATTAAAGTCAAGTGGTCCGTCTGGCAAGATCACCCTGAATCTGTAGAAAAAAAAAAAAAGAGAAAATTCAACATAAGCACTTCTGATGTGTTTTTCTAGGAGAGGCGATGGCAATACATTTACAGGATAGAAGCCATGAGAAAGGACGGTCTGGCTCCCTTAGCTCATGGCAGCTGCAAGTAGGTGCTGTTCTAAGCAGAGGAGAAAATTACGCAACCTGGTGGTAACTGCTGGCACTGGCTTTTTATTGGGAATCCTCAGTAGGAGCTTGCGTGTGTTTCCTAGCAATGCAACATCATACAGTGAGAAAAACAAGCAGAAAGGGAAATGTTTTGAAGATGAATCAGTTTCTTTTTTGCTTTCACTGATGGTGTGATTACAGGGAGAGATTGTACTGTTAACTATAACACCACCTCTTGACGTGAAAAGTCACATTTTCATCACACCCATTTATAGAAGCTGTCCCCCACAGATAATGTGCTGATGACTGGAGAGAACATTTGCTAAAAGAATGGCTCTGGTGAATGATGAATAGTGCTATGCAAGTGGTGGTAATAGCTCTAAACCCAGTTATTTTAAAAAAGAAGTAGTGCTATTGCTTGCCTTATCTTGTCAGAGCCACATCTAGGCTCTGAAACATGGTATGGATTATGTTCATCTCTACTGATTTATAATATACCTCACCACTGGTGGTGATCTGATCTTCCCATACTCTCTTTTCCCCTCGAGTGCCACTCCAGATTCAGATTTTTCTTGTAGAACCACCAAAACCCCAATTTACATCCTACCTTGTGCACAAAACCACAGGCTGCAGTCTATTTTAATAGTTCCTGACATCATTGCAGGTACAGGGAAGGTACTTTCTGTTCTAGTGACTCACGTATCCATCCTTGGAGATAATTCAGAACATGACTGTAAAAAAGCCTCAAGCAATCTGCTTTGAGCAGGGCGTTGGACTAGGTGATCTCCAGAGGTCCCTGCCATCCTCAGCTGTACTGTGATTCTGTGCTAGTTTATGTATAACTATTTTTTGTGCTGTACTTTGCAAGGAATATTTGGAATGTGATAGCAAATTC